TGCTTACGTCTTTATTTCGTATATTACATATCATATGATTAGAATTAATTCATTTTTATCTTGTAATATGAGAAAATATGCGCAAGTAGTTATAAAACATAGCGCAAGTGAAGAGAAGTAATCCAACGCAACGTACAGTACTTACCTACTCGCACAACGCGGTGCCTATAACGCGAAGTTATCAGTCATGTAGTTTTGCCAAGAATTGAATCGAGGAACCATACTATTATTATATATCGATGGATTTGGCATGAAATGCTTTTTAATTTTTGTCCTTACAAAAACTTAAAAATTTGCAAAGGTGACGAAGGGGAGAGGGGGGGGGGGGGGTGAAATATTGCATTTTAAAAAATTTGAATAGACCGATGGAAAGGGCATAAGATACTGTAAAACTTTTGTCTGAAATATTTTTTCATATACCTCATATTTTAGGAAATATTAAATAAAAATGAAAAAGTCCGTTTTTTTCAAGGGGTGGTTTCAACCCCTAAACCTCGAGATAAGCACATAAAAAAAAATACGTGTCTAATGTTTTTTGATGCTCTACAACATATCCAATGCTCATCAAATTCGGTGAGGGACGCCCCCGACCGTTTCCTTGTAAGTGTTTTTTATTATCCCCATATACAGCCACTAATTATAATTTTCTTATAATATTATTTAGGACAACAACAAAAATTAACTATTTATAGTTATAATATTTTATATAATAAAAGAGAAGTTAGAGACATACATAAAATATTTATGTAAAATATGTTTGCCTTAGTTAAAAATATTTCGATAAAGTTTATCAAAAAAATAAAACTCTTTTGACTGTAGAAACGTTAAACACACTTTTCTTAAGTTATTATTTATTATTTCATAAACGTTTCTGTCTAAACGTTTCTTATTAGTGCTTTCCCATTATGAAACATTATGTTTTTAAAACATTTATTTAATGTTTGTAATATTATTAAGCAATGTTTTAAGAACGTTTATAGAATATTATAAAGAAACATTACAAAAATATACATAACATCAACGTTTTAGGAAGTTTATTTAATGTTTCTTGCTTACTGGGATAATACCGCAAAGTATTTGTCGCGAACACAAAAATATAAAACAGTAAAAATGATCTGAAAATTTATTTCAATCGATCAAAAAAGTCACAATCGAATTTCCCTCCAAATTGAATTTCTTTCGAATTCATTGTGTTTTTCGCTGATGCGCAACGCTGCTGGATATAATTCGGAACTTCTGCAGGCAATAATACGTCAGCGACATACATATAATGTACGTACTTACGCACAATATGCAAATCTTTTCCAATTTATATAATATAAAAGCTAAGTACATCGACATAAAGAGAGACATTATTCCAAAGGTAAGAGCAGTGATGGAATAGGCGTAGGTATTCTTTAGAGCTAAAAGAAACAATTATTTATTAATATGTTATATAAGATATATGTTATGTAAGATATATTAGAGTGAGAGAAAGTGAGAGAGAAAGAGAGGGAGGGAGGGAGTGGGAGAGGGGAGAGAGAGAGAGGGAGGGAAAGGGAAGAAAAAGAAAAGAGGAGAGAGAGGGGAGAGAGGGGAGGAATGTCGATAATCAAATACGTACCCACAATTAACATCATAGAGAAAAATATTATGCCAAATATGACATTTGGGACCTTGTGCAATTGAAAGAAAGAACTCTTTGGGAAGATTCCGAATCCTTTGCTGTATCTGAAACATAATATATGGTCTCTATCATTTTTATTCATTTAAAACATTTTCATGAAGATTTATAAAATCGTCAATTTCCCGAATGATTTTACGTTTCATATGTACTGTGTGAGTTTAAATGTATGCCTGTTGGCGCGTGCATGTATCTATATGAATAGTTAAGTGGTTAAAAATTACAGCACTTTTTCTTGACAAATTTTATAACATATTTCCGTATCCGATAGGGGAACTTGTTATTTAATAATTCTCGAGAAATATGTTTGTCTATTGTATATAATATACATCAATGTATATTACAATGTATATAATATAATACACATTGCAAAACTCATCGAGGGTAAGTATTGTTACATTTAATCAACGAACTGTATGAGATATTACTGATGCACTCCTATGTCATTTTTAATTAATTCTACATTATCACATCTATATAGTCAAATGTTTATTCAGGTAGAATAGCATATAAAATTGATTGTATATACAATCGACATCGTTTCGATTTACTATTTCTGCCTAGATAAAGATTGCAACATTTTTTCTCGATAAGTTTTCTAACGTAGAAATATTTGTTTTTTATCAGAAGATATACAGGATGTTCGGAAACAATCGCATTCGGTTAATATTATCGTATTTTTAAGCGAATTCTAAGATTATTTTTCCTCTTGCAAAATGTTATTCGAGGCTTAGTTGCTGAACTATAAAGATAAATAGTTAGCCTTTCACAGGCCAGATACGGAAAGTAGGCAAGGGCGGCATAATTCACCGTCAGACACAGACATTATGTTTTAATTATATTCAACTAACAAGGGGAATACCAGGTGACTGCTCCGGAAATTTTGATGCGCTTTTTACAGGCTGTTCTTGGGCGAAAAAAAACGACATGTCCCGGCCGTTTCAGCCAATGGGCCATAGTTTCGAAGAAATCGATTTTTAAAAATGACTAGTCGGCCGCGGCACACTTGATACGTTCGATCGTCACTATTGAACGGTAGCGCAGAAGGTAAGATGTTGGCTTCGTACAGAGTAGGTTGCGTGTTCAAATCTCATCTTACACATTTTTTTTATTAAAAATTTATTCTTATCTATAATTATTTATATTATTGTAGATATATACGAAAAAGATTATTTATTTAAGAATTAGAAAGATTATTAATTTTAGAATTTTTAAATAATTATTGTAATATAATTTGAAAAATCTGAATAAAGAAATATTATTATCTTTATAAATTTCATTTTAATTTAATGTTATTAATTTTTATTACTATTTGATTCTAATGAAATTTTATAAATTTACAAATTAGTAAATAATTAAATATTCATGTATGGAATAATTATCAATGATTCTTAGTATGATATTTCTATAAAGGCCATCGGTATAGGCTACAATTGATTCGTTTGAGCCGTGCATTACGAGAAAAACGGCCGGAATACGAGCAAGGATATGACAAAGTTATTCTTCTGCATGATAACGCTCGGCCTCATGTCGCAAAAATCGTAAAAAATTATTTGGAAACGCTCAAGTGAGATATTTTACCGCACCCGCCGTATTCGCCGGACATTGCTCCTTCTGATTACT